CTATTTACACTTTTATGTGAAAATGATACTCACAACATTTTCAGACAAGATGTCTGAGTGATGACTTCTAATTTTACTACATATAAAGACATTTTCATAGAGTGCTGACTTGCAGCGTCCCATGAATAAGGCAATAAACAGATGGAATTGTAATTCCGCTCGCCATCAATAACAATTATTGCTCCAGGGTTAAAAAAAAGAAGCACATAACACCCTCAGCACACCGCCCAATTTCAGACTTTACAAAGCTTGAGAGAGCAGCTGTTATTTCCCAGTGGAACACTGACAAGAAAGAAGGGGAAAAAAAGAAGCCTGACAGATTGGATTGTGAAATTTCATTCCCAAAATTCTATAGAAATTTTTAATCTTTTATCTGTATTTTGTTGTGTATCGCATCGATGTGTTACATAAGTGGCAAAACAGATCAGGCTGCTTCCTGATCCGGTATTTAACAATTAATCATGGAGCGTTTGTTTTATCCTCAAATGAACTGCGCCGAGTCTGTCTGGAATAGTTGTATTTTGATCACTGAGGGGGATGAAAAGCTTTCAGTGATGGTATAACGAGTCAGCGTTGGAAGCGACATTTTTCCTGAAAACTAAATTTACTTGAACCTGTTTTATATTGTTTGGTGTCAAAACAGGTAGTTGAGATTGTTTAATCTGACAGTATGCACAACCGGGTGTTTTAAATGATCCGGAGGAATGCAATGTAATTAAATGCCCCAGAGATACATGCGAAAGGGGAATGTGCTCCTCTGCATTCTGGATCTGTGTCAGCACCCAGTGCTTTTTCTGCTGAACGCACATGGTCAATAAAGCCTCGCTGTTAAAAAGGTGCATGAGTAGAATTCCACCCTCAAAGATCTAATGAAATGATGAGAAACTGACCTTCAGGACACATGGGATTGTTTCTTTACCCCATGGTAATTGGCTTTGTATAGTTCTGCTGCAAATTATAAGTGAGTAGTAAAGAGAATGTATGTCACGCAAGAGCACTCAGTCCTTCAAGGTTTACAGTTCAGAAAGGCATCAATGGCTCCTCAGGGATTAGGGATGTATATGCATGGTTCCAAGTTAAAAGGCTAAACCACAGAATCAGCACACGCCGCGGAATTAAAGCACATGAGTAGAAGGATCCCCTTTGACCCATTCTGATTAAAAGAATTTATACACACACACACACACACACACAGAGACACGCACACGCCGGCCCGCATATATATATATATATATATATATATATATATATATATATATATATATATATATATACTCAGAAAGTGAAGTTGGAGATGTTTCACTGCCATTTTCCCCCCGTGGAGCGGAAAAGATGTCTGGCCTATATTTTCAGCACCACATTTTCTCTCAGGTGGTACGGTTAGGTCAGCAGTTTGATCTGAAGTGGGAGTGGCGTGCAGGACCACTGTGCGAAATTGAACCAAATTCACCCGGCAGAATGTTAAACCATGTGTAAAATCCTTGTGATCGGCTCTGAAAATGATCCCTGGCTGAAGGTGCCATCACCCCCTCCTTCTCTCTCTCACACACACACACACACACACACACACACACACACACACACACACACACACACACACACACACACACACACACACACACACACACACACACACCTCTGTCTTTAGGGATGGTCACACTCATCTCTCTGTGTCTCATGGGAACCTTTGAAGGAAGAAGGATGTCCAGGAGCCCATTAACCTCCCCTGTGTATGTGCACCCATTCCTGACATGCACCCAGACACCAGGTCACCACCCGTGGAAAGCTCCAGGCCTTTTCACGCCACAAAGACATGTCTTTCTGTTGTTACTACACGCTGTCCTCTTTATTGTATCACAAACATATACAGGCTGCATGGCAAAATAAATCTCCAAATGGTAAGAAGTATTGATTCTGTGGTGATGGTTATTCTGAGTTGTCCATTCTAACTTGTCTTGAAGAGAATCTTTGTTTCAAATCATCCCACTACATTTAACTTCTTGTAACGATAAAAATGTAGAATGCAGTTAGTTATTCTACCCTTTTCACCATAGTGAATATGAATTGAAAGCCTTTATTGTCATTGTACTTGGTACAACGAGGGGGTAGCAACATCATAACACAAAACATAAAAATGTGTAACAAAGTCTCTATGGGGTGCATAAAAGTTATTAAATACAAGATACCAGAATAAAGATAGAAGTCTAAAAATGAATAATAATGGGGGTGGGGGTGACTATTTGAATTAGTACAAGTACAAATTAGCTATTTAATGGTAAATGTGTAGATTTGGAATATAACTGTAACATATGAAGTAAAATCTGCATATTTAGAAGTCTAAAGGTCAATGATTCAAAGTTATTTACAACCACATCTTATTTTCTAAATTTAAATCTAATTATTGAACTCTGAATACAAATTTGGTGTTATAAATGAAATAACATGCAAAACCATCACGCTACCCTTCCATAAAAGTTGTAGGTAAAAGTCTCAGAAGGTCTCAGACGCCTCTTTGGTGGTAAGATTGTGAGTCCATTCAACAATGGATTAATGAACTCAGACATTCGTGCCCCTGAGATGTTATATAAGGGATCTTCTCGCCCAGCTTATATTTTGGCAGGATAATGTGCAGGGACTACCCAGAATGAATGAGTTTAGGTTGAATGGACTCCCTCAATCTTACCATCAATGGTAAATGGCTTGTATATGTAACACATTTTAGGGTCATACAACCCCCCAAAGGTGCTTTACAACACATTTACCCATGCACACACACATTCACGTGCTAGCGTTTCTACAAGGACTTAAAAGGGGGACTTCTTCACTCTGCTGTTATTTTGGTAAGATAGTTCTGTTTTAGTGGTCTGGATGAGCCTGTTACAGCAAAATATTTAGTTTCAATCCATCTAATTTTTATCTAGATAACATTTAAATCTAACTTCATATATATATACACATATTCTGTATATTTAGGCTTCCTTTGTATTTTTAGATTTAATATTAAATATTTGTGCTTGACTTTAGATATATAATTTTTACTTTAAATATAAATGTTTATGTTCATGTATTTAGCAGATGCTTTTGTCCAAAACAACTTACAGGTGATAATCAAAGCAGCAGGTTGCCCTTGAGGCTAACAACAAACACTATTTAGTCAAGCCGAGGTGGCATTGAGCAACATAATGAATAATAATAATAATAATAATGAATGAATGAATGAAAGAGGGAAGTGAACATGGAGAGTGTAGGACATGTGCAGGGAGGGTGCTAGTTACATCCAGAATAAAAAGAAAAAATATCAATAGAAAGTTAAATTCTAGTGTTAGAATATTGAATAAAAACTAGATGGCCTTAAAACTAAATATTTTTCTATTACAGGTTCATCCAGATTGTTATAGTGAAATATTTAGTTTCAAACCATCTCATGTTTTTAATTTCAAAATGTAGATCTTAATTTTTAGGTACTTTATTTCTGGATGACTGTTTAGATTCTGAATATTTAGGCTTCCCTTTTGTATATTCAGATGTGATAATAAATATTTGGGTTCAACTTTAAATATTTAGATTTTACTTTACCTAAATATTATATATATATATATATATATACATACATATATATATATATATATATATATATATATATATATATAAACTAGATGGCTTAAACCTAAATATTTTGCAATAACAGTCTGAAAATGTCTGCTAAAGCTAAATATTTAGTTTCATGCCCTCTCATTAACATTTTAACTTAAAAAAACTAATTCAAAAACATTAATGCTTAATTTTATATATGTAGATTTAATATTAAATATTTGCGTATACCTTTTAAATATTTATATTTTACTTTACCTAAATATAAAAGTTATATTAACAAATATACATGTACAAAATCTAAGCTAGATCTAAATGTTGAAATATTAAATATAAACTAGATTGTTAAAAACTAAATTTTTTGTGTGGAAATCCCTGCTATAACTAAATAGTTAGCATCATGCCCTCTAATTAATTTTTAAATGTTACCATTTAGGTCCAACATTGCATAGTTCTGGATTTAACTTTTAAAAAGAGCTTAGATTCAAATATAGTTATGCTTAACTTCATGTATTTAGCTTTATTATTAAATATTTGCCAATAAATTTTAAGTATTTAGATTAAACTTAACCTAAATATAAGTTACACTCACAAATTTATATAAAAATCAAAGCCCAATCTAAATGTTGAAATCTAAATATAAACTTGGTTTAAAGCTAACGTTTTAGCAATAACGATCTGGAAATACTTGTTAAAGCTAAACAGTTAGTTTCACACCATCTAATTCATGTTTAAATGTTAACATTTATATCCAGCATTGCATAGATCTGGGTTTAACTTGTAAAATTAATTGATTCAAAATATTTATGCTTAACTTTATATATTTAGATTTAATATTAAATATTTGAGTATAACTCATATATAGAATTTTTTTAAATATTTATGTCTAGTATTGTGTTTAAAGCTAACTCTTTTTATTGCAGATTTTCTTTTTAAACATTGCTTTACAATCGGCTCCCCATAGCATACTGTTGGTTTTGGCTTTGGGGCATGATGTTAGCAACATTTGAATCTCTTTACCCTGGCGCCTGAGTAGATTTGAATGCATACAATAATTAGAAAAGTGATGTATTATTATTATTATTATTGTTGTTGTTGTTGTTGTTGTTATTTATTTATTTTTATTAGTCTAAATAATCTTAACCCCAGTAAGATTCCAGGTTATTTAGCCTCACAAGATCTTATTATAAATTAAGAATAACCTTATTTATGGAAAGCGGAGATATTACTGGCTTGCTCCAGATTCTTGTCCTGATCGCTGTGATTTTATTGACCCTTTCTCGACTTGATCAAATCGCTCTGCACACAACATAATTGTTTACGGCGGGGAGGTAGAAGTATGTCGTTCTTTCCATTGGAGAAGCGTCTTCATTAGTCAAAAAGCGTGGGCGGGACTCTAGCTCTCTGCAGCGAGTCAAAGTGAAAGGCAATAAAGGGAAGCAAGAGCTGCACTTTGCCGACGAGCATCGTTTGCCGTCCTGCCTCACTACAGTGATCACTGCCCCCCTGATCTGCACAAAATACGCACGGACTTCTCCGAGAGAACAGGAAAAAAGGCAGAGTTCATCAATGTAACTCCGTCCGGCTGGATAAGACAGAAAAGAGGAGAAAAGAGACAGAAAGAAAAATTAAACAACAAAACAAGAGTCAAGCGCGTGTGGAGCGTGACACTGTAAGAAGGAAAACGAGAAGAATGATGCTCCAGCAGCACCTGATCTTCATCCTCTGCAGCCTGTGTGCGAACGTCTTTAAAGGTGAGCGCTGGATGTTGCTGTAGTACAGACGGGCGTGGTGGCGCGCGTGCAGGGAGGTGGAGGCTGGGTTTAAAAAAAAAAGGTAATTTGTGATCGTGGCGCACGTGAGTGCAAGTTCGATGCAAAGAGAGTTGGCTTTCCTTTAAAAAGAAGATAAAAAAATAAACGATGCGTGCTCGCGCCGCAGTTCAGGCTGCAGCACGGCGGAGGCTGTCTGCTGCCACAGCCAAGAGTGCTGGAATGCCTGGAAGTTGTGCAGCGCGGTGAAAAGCAGAATGCAGCTGCACAAGTTGTTTTTCTGTTTTAAAAAGGGAACGAATTAGGATTTCTTTCCCTTTTATTTTTTTACATTGAGACCGGGGTATAAGTTGACTGTATGAATCTGTGTAGGGCCGAAGCTGACAGGGATGCAGGGAAAGGGTCCGGTGTGGATGGGTGTTATTTTTTGTCATGCTGGATCATTAAAAATCATTTTAACTCATGCATTTGCGCTAATATTACAAATGGATGTATATTTATGCGTTTGGAGACGCTCGGGTAAATTTAGTGTGCGTAAAGTGTGGGTAGCACAGTGTCTGCCTGCGGGCCGGCGTGTGCGTGTCTGTGTGTGTGTGTGTGTGTGTGTGTGTGTGTGTGTGTGTGTGTGTGTGTGTGTGTGTGTGTGTGTGTGTGTGTGTAGGTGAGAGAGAGAGAGAGAGAGAGAGAGAGAGAGAGAGAGAGAGAGAGAGAGAGAGAGAGAGAGAGAGAGAGAGAGAGTGAGAGAGGATTCCATCTCAGGAGTGCTGGGATGCATTAGGCTCAGCAGCAGGCAGCAGCACCGTGTAGATCCTGCCTGCTGGAGACGCAGGTGAGGTATCTATGTCGTCTCATGACAATAGCTTCCTCCATCCCCACTGACCGTCCCGCTCCTAGATGCACGCAGCCACCGCCCTATAGACACCAGTCCAACGCTTAACCCTTTCCTCCTGATGTGCTGCATGAGTGCTCCACAGAGAAATAAAGCTCATATCATTATTTTGACATTAGCAGAGCTGATTTAAAGATGTGGCCTTTTAATATGTGATGAAACAATTATTTCAGTATGTTTTAAATAAATCTCATCAAAGATCAGAATCAGTCAAGTGGAAGTTTATTTACTCCCATTTTTGCACACTGAACTGCCTCTTGAATGCAAATCTCAGCATCAGATTCTCTTTTGAGACAGAGCAGGAAAATTAAATAAATCAGCTGCAGCTGAACTCAAATGCTCCAAGTTGTAAGAGCGCCAAATCTCATTAGACTGTTTATTTTAGCCCTAATGCATATTGTCTTTTGCATTCTCGCTGTCAGCAAGTTTTGGCCTCTGTAGCTTTGCTTCATTTCATAAAGCGGCCCAACTTGAGATGCCATCATCTGTTGTGCACAGCTGTGACACGATGTAACATCCCACCATGCACGTTGCATCCTTGGCTTGCCTATGGAGGCATGCCTCTCCTTTAGTAACACAGTTAAACGGTGTATTAGCTGCTAAATGTTTAGTTTTATGTAAATGTTGTTTCAAATGGGTTTGTGGAAATCAAATATCTCCTTGTTTCATCCTCTTAAGCCCAGACACTTTCTTCTTTTCATCTCCTGATATGACCCTGGCGGGGTCTTCAAGGATGCTATTTAAACTGACATTTATTAAGTGCTTCACTGGCATTTATGAGATATAGGAAACTAAAAGTAAAATCACCCATGGTGAAACGATGGAGCACCTGAGGAAAAGTTGCTTAAAGAACATTTTAAGACAAGTTTGAACCGTTTCATATTTCAAGGATATTTCAAGGCTGAATAAGAACCTAAATTTACCCAGAAATGAAAACAGACACATAGATGATTGGAAAAGTAGGATCTGAAAGGTATGGTGTGCTTTGGGAATGCTTTCCTAGATGCCGATGTTCCTTCTTGTGAATAAAAACATCCTTTTATTTCACTTTTAGTAGAATTTGTGAGAACATGCAGGATGGGACAGGACCAAAACGTCTCCTTTGTTTCTGTTTGACCTGCTCTTTGAATTAAACATTTACTTGGTCATTTCTTTTGAGACTTCTGCGTACTATGAAATAAGCTAGTAAGATGCATTTAGATAAATCATAATCAACAGTTTTGATATCTGTGAAAATAGAGCTCGAGTAGAAGAAATAAACCTGCACACAGCCAAGATTTTACTTCCTTAGTTTTACTCTTTTATTGCTTTGAGATGATTAATCTTGTAAAATCTGAACCTACAACTGTGTTTGAGGTAGCTATTCGTAGATTATTAATAATATCAACTATTTTAGTGATGGAAATAACTTTTACAGGTTATTTCATTACTAAAATCGCATTTGAATTCATAACAATAATCATTCCTGTTGACACTAAAAGTGCTTTTGGCTGATGTTCAACCTTGGTCAACAGTAGATTCATTTTCAAAGCTGATTCAGAGGTAATAGAATAGAATTAGAGGCTTATTGGTTAGTGAAGGACTTTATGACTAGACAGGAAAGTATCATTTTTGATTTGTAACAAGCTGATTTCAACAAGACATTCTCTGAAACTGGTAGATTTCAGAGTTTATCATTTAGTTTTACAAGAAAGAAAGACAAATTTTGTTTTTAAGCTAATAAAAGTAGAGAATAGAAGTGGTGCACTTGCCTCAGATGCCTTCTTCTAAAAATTTCTACATGTCTACATGTCCTATTAAAAGCCTTTAAGACTGAGTGTTTGCAGAAGCACCTGGACAAAGGCACAATATAGTGCTTTAAATTTTTTTCTCTCAAATATTCATTGATAAATAGTTTTGTAACACCAGCCATCAAGTGCCCAAAATTTGGAGGACATGCATACCACTGTGCTGCTGGAAGGCTTTTAAAATCATTAGACCACAGCAGTCTTGAGTAAAAATAGTCCTCGGAAAGCTAGCTGACCTGGCAACAGATTTTTGGTTCAAGTGCTGAGAGAGAGAGAGAGAGAGAGAGAGAGAGAGAGAGAGAGAGAGAGAGAGAGAGAGAGAGAGAGAGAGAGAGAGAGAGAGAGAGAGTTTATTTTTATCTCGTCCAAGAGCTGTTGTAAGACTGTGCCCACTTCAAGGACTTCCTAAATATTTTTGATAAGAGGCTAAAGGTCAGATATATGAAGCTTGCTATGATGGGTCAAACCAACACATTCTCACTCCCAGCGCGTCAAAAAAAAACGCTTGGTCAGCCACCCTCCACGTCAGACCCCTGACGCCAAAAGTGCCCTTTTTCGTTACTTATGTGCGAAAAGGGGTTTTTCCCTTTTCTGACTGCAGATCCCAATGCAGCGTAAAACTGACGTGATGGGATGTCCACAGCCAGGGCACCAAACAAGCTCATTGTACCTCACCTTAACCTTATCCTCTTATTTAACCTTCCCCTCACCCCTTTCCTAACCTTAACCATGTTGCCAGCGAACACGTTAGTGATGTGTCGATCGCTCTAAAAGCCGGCTCTATGAAGTGAACGTCAGGAGCCGCCTCGTCATTGGTCGAGTTTGAACCGAGCCAATGCAAGGGGGAGGTTTCAACTACCACGGTGGAGGTTAAAAGTAGAGGGTATTTGTAACCTCCCCCTCGCCAGATGGTATGTTCTAACGTTCCCCTTGGGCGGCAAGTACGAAAATTGACAGTCAGACTCTGACTGTCAGAGTCAGAATGCATGATAAAACAAACGCTTGATCACAGTGAGAGTAACGTTTTAGGTAGCAAGAGGGTTAAGGTTAGGACGAGGGAGAGGGTAAGGTTATAAATAGTGAAACGTTAAGGTTTAGGTGCGGTTAAATGAGCTGGTTCGGTGCTGCATCGGTTAAATGAGGGTTAAGGTTAGGATGAGGGAGAGGGGAAGGTTATAAATAGTGAAACGTTGAGGTTTAGGTGCGATTAAATGAGCTGGTTCAGTGCCGCATCAGCGGATATCTAATCACGTCAGTTTTACGCTGCATTGGGATCTGCAGCTACAAAAGGGGAAAAACCCTTTTCGCACATAAGTAACGAAAAAGGGCACTTTTGGCGTCTGGGGTCTGACGTGGAGGGTGGCTGACCAAGCGTTTGTTTTTGATGTGCTGGGAGTGAGAATGTGTTGGTTAAACAGTTATTTAAACAAATGTAGCTTGTAAAAAGTGCATGCACAATCAAAAATGCTGCATTTACTCTAATGTCATTAAAAGTCTGAAACTCTTTGGCCTCATGATAATAATTAAATTACGAGACACCTGAAGAAGAGCCAATTCAAAAATTTTTAAGGGGCCCTAGAACATTTTTATTTATATATATTTTTTTACAATTGTTAACTAGTCTTTGAGCCTCTATATGACATGTGAATCCTTGTTGGGGCTCACAATGACCCAGACGCCCTGATAATTGGCCAACCCCATAGTAAACCCGTTCAATGAAAAGACAGTGTTTTCCTGCTCACTCGGCCAGGACATGAATGTTAAATGAGCTGTGTGATGATTGGCTGGTTTACCCCAATGGCTCTATGACGCAAAGGCTCTCCGACATCCTCACAAGGACGGACGGAGTATTTTCTAAATATCTGTTGAAAGCAATGGAGACTGCAAACCTGTGATTGGTCAGGACGCTGCTTCCTTAAACTTCGTCAATAACACCACCGTTACGCATCAAACTTTGTATTCGTGTCAGGAAATTACAAGAAACGTGACTTTGGAGGTGGTGACTGGATGGAGAACTGGAGGACAAATGTGTCCATGTTAAAAAGTCTCTGAATTATATAAACACAAGGTAAACACAGGTGTGTGTCTAAGCTAAAGAGGTGTTAACCAGCTTTCCTCAGAATGAACCGTTTCTCCGTCGTCTTTACAACATTACTAATTTGCAAAAGCCAGCAGGTTGGAGACAGCACAGACCTTTTGGTTAGGCCCATTAGACAGCCCACACTGCCTATATTAAACAACAACAAGGTGAATGTGGTTTGGAACTCCAGGACCTCTTTAATAAACCCAAAGATCACTATTAAATC